TGAGGTTTCGTGATGTTGGTGATGATGATGTTGACGACCACGACGGAGTGTAGTTGGTAGGGTGGGGGGGTGGCTAGTAGTAGTAGTAGTAGTAGTAGTAGCAGCAGCAGCAGCAGCAGCAGAAGTAGTAGAAGTAGAAGTAAAAGTAGAAGTAAAAGTAGAAGTAGAAGTAGTAGCAGAAGTAGAAGTAGAAGTGGAAGTAGAAGTAGTAGTAGAAGAAGGAGTAGTTGTATATGGTAGTGGTTTGAGTACAAGTAAAGGTGTAGCCTTTGCGTCAAGTGTCCTCTCACAAGGGTCCCTTAGATTCTGATAATTTCTCCAATTCGGAGCACCCTGACTCAGAATCCAACTCGACCATGCACCACAAACTCCGGAACCCTGAGCCGAAATCCGGCGAGCTTAAATGCCAGTCCCCACATCTTCACAACCAATTTCGCCGGTGCATTTAAGCTTTAAAAGCAAGCACTGGAAAGTCTCGCATCTGGGAACAAACACCATTTCAATCCTTGAAGTGATACAATATAAGCCCTCATCCCTTAACCCTAAACCCTGAACAAGCCCTCTAAGCCTCATCCCTACACCCTAAACCCTAAACAAGCCCTCTCAACCCTGAACCCTAAACCATAAACCCTAAACAAGCCCTCTTAACCCTGAACTCTATAAACTTCATCGAGGCCCAGCGGCTGGGAAGCCGTGTAGTATTTGCCATCCTCTGCATAGCGATAGGCCTGCCTCTCGAAGGAGGCCACGACGGCCTTGAGAAGGTTCCGGTTCAGGCCGGGGCTACGGTAACGGTACCCTAAACCCAAAGTGGGGGCCTGCATGGCAGTTTGGGAGGCTTGGCAAAGGCCGATGCCAAGATACCCTAGCCTCCAGGCTCGCAAGCCCTATGAGGGTTTAGGGTGTAGGGTTTAGGGTTTGCGGTTTGCGGTTTTGGTTTAGGGCCCTCATGGATTCCTTTTATTGCAAACCCTACAGGAAGCCCTTCGCACCAAGCTTCATATGAGGTTGCTAATTGGACTAGCTCAGCCCCGCAACCTAAGGCTAAGTAGATGACTTCAGAAATCTGAATCTCGCCTGGAGATCAGCATGAGAATAAGGGCTACGGGCAAACCCCTAAACCCTCAACTCGAAACCCGAAATCCTAAACCCACAACCCAAAACTCAAAACCCAACACCATAAGCCCTAACCCAAAACCCGAAACCCTAAGCTTCTACACCCAAAAATGCTTCCCTCCCATGGATTCCTTGGCTTCGCAGGCCTCAGGAGCCGCCCTGAGGCGATGCAGACATTTCGAGGCCACAAGGAGGTCAATGATCAAGGTATTGGAATTTCCTTAAACCCTAAACCCTAAGCCCTAAACCCGAAACCCTAAACCCTAAAGGCTCTCCGGAGGACGCAGCCATATGGATCCCACAGACATGAGCGCAAAGTATGCATCGAACCAGCCTGGAGCCGCTTCCGAAGGGGTCACGCGCGCATTGCGTGAGCCTAACCACTTCTCTTTACTTTCCCAATGTAGGGTTTATTTAGGGTTTAGGAGTTTAGGGTTTAGGGTGTATACCACACTGTTTGGGGAATGAATAATATAACAGAAAGATGGGAACTATAGCGGGAGAGCAAACCCGGCTGTCGGCCTACCGCCGTGGAACGGCAACGGTGTGCCTCAGCCGTCTGACTACGGGAACGTTATTGGCTCCGGTGGAGTTGCTCCCCGAAGACCGCGGTGGAGTTGCTCCCTGCGGTATTATACAACTGGCAGATCCATTTGCGAGGCGTGGCGGTGCATCTTACTGCCTCTGGCGGATTTTCTCACTGGAGACCGCGGTGGAACCTGCATGTGGGCTTGCCTCCATGCAATGGCAACGGGGGTCGATCCGACGTTGAGGCGTTCAACTGCAGAGCCTGGACCGTCTAATTATAGAAACCTTGCGGAATCAAACCGGGCGATGCCCCGGAATCAAACCGGGCGATCCCCGGGACCAAACCGGGCGATCCGGGACCAAACCGAGTTTTCACCGGGGCACGCTGAGCCAGGGCCCAGGGTCGAGGAACCTCGCTTGCGGGGGGAGGCTCTGGGTTCTGGCACGGCGGTCCAGCGGAGACGAGGGGTTGCCCGACTGTTTTAGGGCTAAAGTTCCGACCCTCGTATAGTTTGGGGTCGGCAGCATTTACAAGTGACAGCTCAATCTTCGGCGCCACGCATGCATGTGGAGCTTCACTTCAGATTGAGGCATCGTGTGCACCCACCTTGAAACAACAACCGATCGTAACTGGCTACCTTGTTGGGCTCTCCACAAGTCGCTAAACCCCTAAACCTCTAAACCCCCGAACCCTAATTCAAAAACCCTATAAGAACTGTGTCTACAGGAACCCTTAGAAAAGGAAGCCCTACAGGGAAAAAAGTTATGAGCCTCAAAGGTCCCCCTTTAAAGTGAACCCCATGGAAAGGGAGCCCTATTACACAACCCTACAGTGCCCCATTCAAAAAGGAACCCCCCTGAACCCTAAACCCTAAACCCTAAACCCCTAAACCCCTAAACCCTAAACCCTAAACCCCCTAAACCGCTCGGGAGCTTGGCGGGCCTCCTCGGTGTCCCTCTCAATGTTACGAAGCATGTGCGGATTGTAGAACGCCCTGAACTTGTCCTGGGCTGCAGCTTTCCCCGAAACTATCGACCTCAGGGTTTAGGGTTTAGGGCTTCGGAAACCCTAAGACCCTAAACCCCGAAACCCTAAGACCCTCAACCCAAAACCCTAAATTCAAGGATCCTAAACCCTAAAAGCCCAAACCCTCAACCCTAAACCGTAGACTTGTCCTGGGCTGCAGCTTGCGTTGAGAAGGCGACTTCACAGGCGTGAGGGTTAAAGGCTAAGGGTTTAGGACCCAGGGTCTGAGGGTTTAGAGTTGAGGGTTTAGCAAAAGTTTAGGTCGTGCAGGGTACAAAGGAAATTGGGACATCCTAAACCCTAAACCCTAAAAGCCTAAACCCTAAACCCTAAAAAGTCCCAACTGTTGTGGACGCGGTTTTTCAAGGGAATCTCCTCCTCACGACCCCGGGTTGAGTTGCAGAGAACTTCACCATTTGTTATTTGGGTAGTTCTCGAAATTAGAGTCCCTTTGGGGGTCCTTCTTTAGAAGGGTGCTGTACTACATTGGGGATCTAAAAGGGGACGGCTTCGGCTTTATGATTGGAATAGGGTCTTGGTGTAGATTCTAGTTATAGCTATCCTAAGGAAGCCTTCGGAAACGTATTGGCAGTTCTTCCGGCTTCCATATTAGGGGCTTAGGGGCTTAGGGTTTAGGGTTTAGGGTTCCCCCTCCATCACCACAACGACTGGAGAACTCCCTGATTAAGCAACAGCCTCTAGACTTCATTCGGGCAGCTCTCCAAATCAGGGACCCTTCTCTCAAGGACCCTAAAACATACCCCTAATTTAGAGACCAAACCCAAGGTAAGCGGCAGCTTCACAGCCGGCAGCAGCCGCCGTCATGGAATACTTCTGGGCCTCCTATCAAACTCTGTAAACCAGTAAAAAGGCCTTTGTGGGTGTAGGGCATAGGGTTTACATTTGTAGGGCTTAAAGTTCAGGGTTTCAGGGATTCTGATTTAGGGTGTTCAGGGCATGTATACAGCAACCATAGTGAGGACCCCTGTAAATGCAGATCCGCAATTCAGACAGAGCTTGGGATTTATTGGGCTTGGAATCAGGAGCCGGCTTCATTTAGATGTCTTTAAACCTGAACCAACTAAACTCTAAACCCGAGACTTCAACCAGAAACCCTTACCGAGACATATCGAGATTTCTTTTCCGGAACCCGGTGCCCATAATTGCATCCGCATCCCGGAGCCATCGACCATGAAGCTGTAGAGACTGGAGAGCTCCGCGGAGGCCGCATCCTTCTCGAGAAGCTCTGGAGCTCGCGAACGGGACTCCTTCCAATTTCTGGAATCAAACCCTAGACTTCCTAAAACCTAAACCCCTATGTGGCAAGGACCTCTATGTATTATTTGACGGGCCTCTCTTTGTCTAGTATTCAGTCTAAGTTATTCAGCTATGGGGCATGGTTGAGGTGTCGTAGCTGCAGGCTCCTCATCGGGTTTAGGACTGTGGAGCCCAAGGTCTGCCACTAGTTCTCCTGTTCCTACTCCCTTGCTCCTGCCTTTTGCCTTCCCTGTCCCATTTCTCTAGTCCTACTCAGTCCTACTCGCCTACTCCCTTGCTCATGCTCCTCTTCTCCTGTTTCAGTGATCTTTCATTTTCTATTTCCTATCCCCACTCCTCATTCTCACACGCCCCTACTCCTGCTACCCCTGCTCTTCTACTCCCACTCTCCTACTACTCTCTTACTCCTACTCTCTTACTCCTGGCTTCTTGCTCGTACTCTGCTGCTGCGATTCTTTTGCTCATTTGCTTTGATTCGTATTCTCCCTGCCCCTAGTCTACTCTCTGTTGGATCACTCACCTTATGTTTACTCCTACTTTCCTACTGCCACTATTCCATTCCTATGCTCTTACTCCTACTCATTTATTTACAACTGCAAAAAACCTTAAAATCCTTCCAAAAAATTGAAAGGCCTGTGTCTGGCTTTCCAAAGTTTCAAGGGTTTTAAGGAGCTAAAGGGCCTTTTCAAATTGATAAGGCCTTTTAAAATGTTGAGAAGGGCGTTTATTGTTTAAAAGGCCTTTTAAAATTCTGAGAAGGCCCTTTAAACTTTAAACGGCTCCTGAAAATCCTTAGAATTCAATATTCTGGGAAGATGTAAACTCCTTAAAATCCTGAAAGTGTCGAAAGGCCTGTGTCTGGCTTTCAAAACTTTAAGGATTTTAAGGATTTTAAAGAAGTTACGGGCCTTTACAAATTTAAAAGGCCGTTCAAACCTTTAAAAGCCTTTAAACATTGATACTGCCCGTAAAATTCAAGAGGCCATTTCAAAATTTAAATGGCCCTTTACAAGTTTGAAAGGCTTTTTAAGTTTTGAAAAGGCCGTTTAAAATCTTACAGGGTTCCTTAAAATCTTTTCAATTAAATATTTTGGGGAGAAGCGCGGCCCGCTTAAAACTTTAAAAGCCATTAAGATCCTTAAAATGTTGCACGGCATGGGTGTGGCTTTCACAATTTTAAGGGGTTTAAGGAACTTAAGGGCCTTTGAAAACTCAAAAGGCCCTTTAAACAGTTAAAAGGCCCGTCAAATTTTTACCGGCCCTTAAATGCATTAAAATCCTTAAAATTTGAAAGCCACACACACACACCTGCCTTTCAAATTTTTTTAAGGATGTTAAGGGTTTTTTAAATTCTAATGGGCCGCGCTCCTCCCAAAAGTACTGAGTTCTAAGGGTTTTAAGGAATTAAGGGCCTTTTCAGAATTTAAAACGCCTTTCAAAAATTCTTCAACGGGCCATTTAAATGTTTAAAAGGCCGTTTAGATTTTCAATAGCCCTAAATTCCTTGAAAACCTTAAAATTTTGAAAGCCAGACACAGGCCCCTCAAAATTTTAAAGATTTGAGGGAGTTTTTGGTAAATGGGCCGCGCTTCTCCCCAAAGTATTTAACTCTAAGGAATTGAAAGAAAATTTAAAACCCTTTTCCAAAGTTGAAGAGCCTTTTCACAATCGAAGACGCCTTTTATAACTTTTAAAAACTTTAAAAAAAGTTCAATGGCCCTTTAAGATTGAAAAGGCCTTACAAAATTTGAAAAAGCCCTTTAAATTCTTAAACGGCCTTTTGACAATTTAAGAGGCCCTTTCTTTTAAAAGGCCCTTTAAATTCCTTAAAATTCTGAAAAAAAGTAAGGTTGGAAGGGGAAACAAACCCGTCAAATAGTACATAAAGGTCCTACGTACAAACCCCTATAGGCATAGGCCCTAAACTTCCTAAACCCTAAACCCTAAACCCTAAAACCCTAAACCTGACTGCGAAGCTGCTAAACCCTCGAACCCCCAAACCGTCGAAGACTTCAGAACCCACAAAGCCGAAACCCTCAAAGCCCGAAATCTGCCACTAAATCCGGATTAGGGTTTAGAGCTTAGGGTTTCGGGTTTAGGGTTTTAGGGTTTAGGGTTTAGGGCTTAGGGTTTAGGGTCTAGGGCTTAATTAGGGTTTAGGGTTTGGGGCTTAAGTGCTTAAGGGATTAAGGGTTCAAAACCCAAAACTACGGAGTCCTGCTGGCTAAGCCTGAGGCGGTTCACGAGAACGCTGTACATTGCGAAGAGCTGGTCTGGATCAAGCTGCTTCTTCGCGTACTCGAACCTGGCTTTACGGCGTTTCTTGGGAAAGTCTTTTTTTCAGGGGTTTATAAGGGTTCTAGCGGGGTTCCTGAGTCAGGGATCTACCCGGCCGCGGGCTTCGGGGTTTTGGATTTTAGGGTTTTGGGGTGTTCGGCTCACGTTTTAGGGCTTATGACGATGGATTCCTAATCAACCTCGAAGGGTAAGCAGGTCATCAAAACATGAGTTGTCAAGGCGCTTTCTGAAAGTAAGTTGGAAATAGTATAGGCACTTATTATTGCCCCTATATTAGGGTTGGTTTAGGGATTAGGTTTTTTTCCTGTAGGGTCTAGTTACGATCCCTTCGAGACCATGGGTGCTGTCCGGGGACCTACGCCTGCGCATCATCGCCCGAAAGCTTGGGGTGTCGGAAGACGTCATCCAAGAAGCTCGGGTTCCCCAGTGGGTTTAGGGGTTTAGGGGTTTAGGGTTTAGGGGTTTAGGGGGTTGGGGCTTGGGGTTAGCACCCTTTTGCCCTTGTATTTCTTTTGGGGTTTATAACCCTCATATTCAAGCCACATATAGTAGCAAAAAGGGTACCGGTTCTTATTATGGGGGCTACCGGGGCCCTAAACCCCAAACCCTAAACCCCCTATAAATTCGGCTTTCCGATATCCGACATATTCAGGAATCCCACTTGACCGGGGCCAAGAGAGGGTCTTGATTCAGAACAGGTCCCAGTGGAAGCTCCCATAAGGCATTTGGCCCATGTTACACTCAACGTTTACGAACACCGCACAGGCAGCTTGACATCCCCGCTATGTGCTGCACGAATTGTTTCTTCCAGCAAACATCAGCTACCTTAAACCCTAAACCCCGAACCCCAAACCTTTGCAGGAGCCCTCAATAGAATGCCAATCGCAACCTTCAGGGAGGCCCTTATCGGAAACTTCACACCAAAATCACCAAGAAACATCAACTTCACGGCTTCGCTCGGGGGGTAGGCCATCTTCAATCGGTCGCTGAGCACCGAGTACAGCTTCTTGAGATACGGGAGCGTGGCGCCGCAAGTCCTGGGCTCTTCACAGGGAACCTCTGTCAAGAACACTTAGCATCACAAAGATCTATAGGGTTCTTAACAAGGAACTTATAACACCCCTTATAGTCGAAGACGGGCATAAGAGTAAGTCGAGTGCTTTCCTCATCATAGCAACTTTACGTAACCTCCTCGACAAGAAACCCTCAACCCTACATTAGACTTATTATCATTATCATTATCTCTGCGATAGTCCCACCGGTTATTGCGCTCTCACTACTTAAGAAGAAGCGAGCGTCTCCATGTACCACGACTCCTTCTTGGCCCACCACTGAGCATCCGAGGGGCTCAGCCCCACGCTCCACCTGTCGCTGAGCCAAGACTCAATCTCCGCCTCGGGGGGCTCTAAACTTTAGAGAAGTTTAGGGGTTTTGGGATGAGAAGTCGAGGGGGGCTCTTAGGGTTTAGGGCTTAAGGGGCTTATGGATGAAGTTTAGGGGTTGTTTAGGGCCTAGGCCTTAAGGGGCTTATGGTGGGGTAGGGGGTTTCGGGGTGCACGGGTTTCGAGGTTTTGGGTCGAAGTCGAGGTCGCCCCCCTCCGAAGTATCTGACATTTGGATATACAGGGCACCATTAAAAATCCGAGCACTTTCTCAAGCTCCGCCTGTAGATCACCAGCTTCTGAATTCCCAGCTTCCATGGTGAAGAGGTCATCCTCCACACCACGGGAGACACCGGAATGAAGTCCCAAGATCGTTCTAAACCCTGAACCCTAAACCCTAAACTCTGAACCCTAAAGCCTAAACCCTAAACCCTGAACCCTAAACCCTGAACCCTAAACACTTATAAAGCACAGCACGCGAAGCCCCATCCTTGTTCCGGCGCGCCGTTGCTGGAAGCATCAGCACCACCAGCGCCACCGCGAAGGTTGAGCGCGCCATGGCGAGAACGACGACGAGCAAGATGTGCTTGACAAGAAAGCAAAGAGCTAAGCCTAAGCGGCTTGAGTCGAAAGCTGCAGATGTCACTCCTGTATGCGGATGGTCTGGGTCCTAACCAGCATTGGTCGCTTGTTCATCCTCCGCGCACACCGAGCACCCAGGCAAAAGACAAACCTCTAACTCCTAAATCCTCTAAACCCTGAAACACTCGCATATACTTCTATCTACATGGACACAGTACTAAGTAGCGGTAGTCGAAGGAATCACGACAGTGAAAGAGCCATGCTTATCGGAAGTTCTCGTCCATTTTAGCAACAGCTCCCAGAATCAGGCACACCAACACTCAGAAGCCTCAACCATATTGGACCCTTAACCCAAAGCCCTAAAGCCCTGGATTTGTCAGCATTGTAGTTGGAATCCTACTACAACCATCCTTGCACCATGTCGTTTTTTTCAACCACCAAAAACGCCCTAAACCCTATAAAACCTTAAGCCCTAAAGCCATAAACCCTAAAACCACTGTCATATCTCCACATACCCTATCGGCCCCTCCGCCCCTAAACCCTCTAAATCCCACCACTTAAAAGCCCCTTGAAAGACCCCTTTGAGGCCCCTTTAACGACCTAGCTCATGAAGGCCCCGATGTTAACACGGTTTAGGGGCTTAGGGTTTAGGGGTTTAGGGGTCTAGGGTTTAGGGGTCTAGGGTTTAGGGGTCTAGGGTTAGGGGTTTAGGGGTTTAGTTTTTAACGAATTGAATCCCCAGAACCCTAAACCCTAAACCCTAAACCCACAACCCTCAACCCCAGAAGATCTGCACCTTGCCACAGGAGTCCATCATGGAGTACTCCTGCAAGCGTTCGGGGTTTAGGGCTTCGGGTTTAGGGTTTAGGGTTTAGGGTATAGGGATGAGGGCTTGGGCATCCTGTTTGGGGGTTTTGGGGTGTTCGGCCATTGGCTGAGGCTGTTGAGCTCACCTTGTGGCTGGACCTCTTCGAAATCTAGTCGGTTTGCAGTATGCAGGGCGCTGCGCTTGCAGAAAATGAGAAACTTCTGATTCACCCTGACCCTTAAACTCCAGGGCTTAAGCACTAAAACCGAAAGCCAAGCTTTAAGCTTTAGGAAGTTGGTAGTTCTCGAAATTAGGGTAGCTTGTTTCGAGTCCTTCTTTTTCAGGGCGCCGTACTTTCTTTTTGTTTTGGGGGGGACCTGAAAAAAAATGGGGGCCCTCGTTTAGAGAACTACACAAGGAAAGTCGAGGGCTCAGGGCTCTGATCGCAAAGGGCGCTCTATGCAAGGATTTCTAGTAGAGTCTTTTGGGGTTTAGGGTTTAGGGGTTAGGGGTTAGGGTTTAGGGTTTAGGGTGTAGGGTTTAGGGTGTAGGGCTTCGGATTCAATTCAAGAGTATCAGATTCCGTTGCGAGCTCAGAGATTGCGTGTCAAACACCCCAGAGTGGCATGACTGCCTTGCACATCGGTCTAAGTTGCGTGGATGCTGCTCCAAAACTTATAGGCCCTCAAACCAAACCCAACAAGGCAGTCGGTTCGTGTTGTCTCATACAGACCCACCCATACTGAAGCCCAACAAGGTAGGCGTGATCCCTGTTTTTTGTGCTTATGCTTATGTTTTTTGGGGTGTTTTTGAGTGTAGGTCTGTGGGATGATAGGCCTGCGGACACCTGCAGCTAAACTAGGCTTGTCGGACTCACTATGGCAGGTGTTTCGGGAATTGTGATCCCTACTTGCGGTTTCGGGTTTAGGGTTTAGGGCTTAAGGTTTAGGGTTTAGGGTTTTAGGCTTGGAGCAGCAGAAGGCATGGCATGCAGGTGATATGTAGCTAAACCCTGAACCCTAAACCCTAAACCCTTTAGTTCGGATCATCCTACTACGCTCTTGGTGCTCGAGTCAGCATCCTCTGGAAAAAGCGCGACTGTTCAGGTCTGGAGAATGAGTGACAGTGTCCCATTAGGGTCGCTAGGTATTTGTGATCTCGCTTCCATACGAAAATCTATGGAACCTCATAAACCTTGTAGGGTTCTTCTGAATAGGGGTGTCGCAATATTTTGCGGACCCAAAAGGGACCCTATTTTGGAAAACTACCCATTTAGCCTTAATAGCTGGAATGCGGTTTTGGGGTATACTAATAACTTAGTTATAATAAGCAACCCCCAAAATAGCATAGGTAATTATTAAGGCCCCGATATTACACTGGTGTTGTGGGCTTGCGATGGCTTCAGGGCACTCAGAGCTGAACCCCGCAACCCGGAAGCCCCGAAGCCCCACCCAAAGGGCCAGAGGTTTAGGGCTTTAGGGCTCTAGGGTTGAGGGTTTAGGGGTTTAGGGCTTTAGGGTTTAGGGCTGTAGGGTTTCGAAAAGCCGACGAAAAAAGGCCAAGGAAGAGGAACAGCCAGACTCTAGGAGGCCCATAAACTTCAGCAGCAAACTTTAGGGTTTTAGGGTTTAGG